TTTTGTTCATTTATCCATTTGTACGCATCTGTATTTGTCGTTTGTCCTTTTCTTATAATAATATTCATATGTACATATAAAAAATGAGCGCAAATGTGTAGCCATAAAGGTGCAAGTAATTTGCGTTAAAATTGAAAAAAAAAAATTGAAGAAAAGACTGTTGTTCATAAAAATAATGCTTAAAGATACTTTTTTACTACATAAATTCCAATAAAACAATATATACAATAAGTATGTACTATATAAAAAATAAGTAAAAGTATGTAAAGAATATTGATTTCATTTAAATTATATAAGGAAACAAATATATAAGGCAACAACTTAAAAAAAGGAACGTTTCATTCTTCATCACAATTACGTATTTATACCAAGAAAATAATAATAATTTTGAAATATTAATCGGTCTTCGGCCGTCCGGCTCAATGACTTTTCCTTTTTCTTCGGTCTTTGAACAGTTGTACCTAAGTAGATCGATTTTAAAGGCTTAGTTGTATTTATGCCGCTGTTTTCACCACGTCTTGGTCAAGTAGAGACTTGTTTGCTTTGCTCGGCCTAGAAAAGTCAATTGCATTGCCAACTCTATAAAAGTCCTGATCGTTAACAGGTTTCTTGGTGCATTAATCCAAACTCAAAGATATGGTGATAGGTCCAGGGTTTCGTAATTATTGTCGAGAGGCTTTATTTAGTTTTATTCGAGAGTCTCAACAAGTTCTACTTTCTTGGTGGAATGTATTGCAGCACAGAGACAAAATATTATTCTGAAGGTATTTATATTAGTTCAAAAATATACATAAATTTTTGTAACACAATTTTGTCAATTGTTTGGTCGAGCTTCCGCTTCAATTCGAGATGTGCGTCTTGATGTTATTACCAGGGTCCGTAACGGTTGTGGTCTTTATAATAAAAAATATGAATTTAACTGTTATAATGGGATTTATATTTTCCCGACGAAACTTAACCGCTGTTCTATAATTTTTATTTTTTTCGCAATTTTTGATTCTTATAACCGTTATTTTCAGATTAAATTTTTTAGACCATAAAGAACCCATTCTCCATTATAACGATTAAAAACGATCAGGAAAATAAAAATCCAAATTAAACAATTTATTTTTTATCGAACAAATAAAATTCGTGTTATTTTCGAAAAGCGAATGGCTTTAATGAGACATTTTTCATGACTCAGGTTCAATCAGAGGTTTGCCATTGTCCGCTAAAGGGCATATTATCACATCAGATTTGTAGTCACTTCTACCAGGGAACTAGACCTTGAAGTCTCAACTGTTCGCAAAATGAAAAAGTGACCTTGTTGCATTGTCCAAAGTCTTTTAATAAAAAAAATTTCATAACTCAAAAACTCAACTTATGAAGCAGGAATCTCGGAAATGATTATATGCCTGGACTCTGTTCCGCAAGCCTTTTAGCAACCCCTTTGCTCGTGTCCTATGCTTCGGGGAACATTAAAGATAGACGATGTTCCGGCCGGAAATAAAGAAAGGAAAGAGAATTATCGAGGCGCCTAGACCAACGGAAAGCTCACTCTAAACAGCTACTATCCAGTTATTCTGGACCGCCTAATGAACTGTCGAACAGAATTCCCATACAATTCCTAATTTACCATTGTATCGGAGCGGCTTGTCAGAGCTTGTCTAGCCAGCAGCCAGAAGTTAAAGGTTCTATCACCTTTTGTTCCTTTACAAGGCTCCATAATCAGCATTTGAACTCTTGAGTTAAGCGAACGAACCAAAAAAATGATTTTCAATACCTTGTTTTGTATTAACAAGTAATTTTTAGCAAAAAAAACCGACTTAAAAAAAATATATATATATCTATATATTTAATGATCCAATGATCGGATCTAAACCAAATTAGTATGGGACCACCTCTGAGACACTACCTTTCCGTTGCAAAAAGAATTATTGAAATCGGTTGATGTGGTGCAAAGTTATGCGGTAACATACATAAAAAAAAAATATTCCGACGAACTGATAACCTCCTCCTTTTTTGGAAGTCGGTTAAAAAAGGTTTAACATGCAAATATACTTTGACAATTTAGAATTTTTGTAAAACGAAATTAAAAAGATTTGACATTTTAGAGATCAAATAATTTGAAGATTTGCAAATTTTGACATTTAAAGGGTGGGGTTGTTTGGAAATTTTTTGTTGAGCTGAACTCATTCTCGATAGAAATTTCTAGACAACACCATTCCGTGACTGCCAAAATGTACAAAGCTGTACAAATGTACATATAATGTGGTCCCTGCTTAATAAATTTTAGCAACTCGCCTAACAGGAGCATTGCGGACCTGCTTTGCTGATGCAGTCAGTGCTCTAGTCGCACTAGCTCCCTCAAAATTCAAATTGAAAGTTCGAAACAATTCCGACTTGGAAATATAAAGGTTAATATGAAAGACCTAACGCATTACGTTAATGGCCAAATATTAGTTGTGATCTCATATGAGCCCGAACTTACCATTTTTTAGCAGATTTTACTGGAAATTGATCCCGTAATCGGTTATCTGGCAACTGAGAGGACAAATGACAGAGTAAAAGGGGTTCTCTCTTTGTCAGAAGTTACCAGTTTTAATCCAAAGATTTTTTACTGGTAAATTCTGGTAAATGTGTCAAACGATCAGCTGTAGTATGTTTGACAACCAAATTGTAGACAAAATCTTAGAAATACATCTGCACTTTGATAATAACATGAACTGATTGCTCCAGTCCCTTAAACACCCTTGTAACCAAGAACACATTATTATCGAGCAGGGGGCCAAGTATGGTTGACATGATGACAATGAATAGGCGGACCACCTAGCAAAAGCGCTACCTCTGTATACCATTCTCCTAAACCCATTTTTGGGGCTAAAGAAAACCGCGCAGATATTTTTACCAAGACAACCAAAAGAAATTTGAACTTTC